AGGTCTTTAAGGTCCTGCTCCTGGGGATTTAGGACTCTAAGCTCTTCTTCTTTTTCTCTTTATTTTCTGGCCACAAAGCAAGCAGTTCTGCTCTTTCACACATGCCTGCTGCGTTATGCGGCTGCCCTGCTGCTGGCCCAAAACAAAGGAGTCGGTCAATGGTGAACCTGATGCCACAGAACTTTTAGCCAAAGTAAACCTTTTCTCTTTATAAGTTAATAATGTCAGTTATTTTGTTGTAGTGGTGGAAAGCTGACTAACCTTCTAAGCTTTAGAAATAGTTTTAATAATGGTTTTGTTGGCAGGACTGTATGACACAGAATCTGAGCACAGCTTAGCGAGATATGAATGAAAAATAGGGTGAAGGTTTAAAGTTTTAAACATTTATTATAGTAAAAGATACACTGCCACTAATGTCCAGAGTCAATTCAAAGTGTTTACTTTTCATAGTCCTTTTGACTTTGGCGAAGAATGAGAAGTCAGAGGACACCAGCTCTTGTGGGCAAGGAGGGTAAGGACACAGTGTGACGTCACTGAAAGCCTGCCTTTCCAACAGATGGCACTGAACAGCAGCACTCACTGAGTTTTTGATCACATCCTATGAGGACACTCATAAAAGAAGACTTCCAGAGCTGCTTCAGAAAGTGGCAAGAATGGTAAGGCAAGTAAGCCTGAGGTGAAGGGGCACAGTTTTGAGAAGACTAATGGCATTGTGTCACTCTCTCTACTCAATTTTTAAACACTGAAACATTTGATGACATCTTCTACATGGGATTTATGGGAAAGGAAGGTGAACTCTCCAACAGTCGCTTTCCTTGTCTGTAAAACTGGAGTATTTCACAGATGGAGCCCCATGCACGGAGCTGATGACAATGGAAAAGAGCACATTCTCGGAGTCCAGCTATCCAGAGTTGACTCCTGATTCTGTCACTAGGTAGTGCTATTATTGTAAGCAAGGGCACTGACTTTTGGGAGCCTTGGTTCACAGGTACAGACTAGTACTAGCGGGTCATGAGGAGAATCAAATATGTTAACAGATGTAAAATATTCAAAGCAGCACCTGGCCTTCCATGTGTCTGCGGGTGTCATTATCTCAGAGTGTTACTGGGAGGCTCAGAAGCACTCATTTATAGCACGGGGAACTGCACAGAGTAAACGCTCAATGTAGCTGTCTGTTCTTCTTATGACTGGCAACCCTTCCTCTGTCCTCAGACTGGAGAACTACCCTCCCTGTGGAGAACCCACAAGTGTCCAAACAAGAGGGATGAACACATGACCCAAACTTGTTCGGTCAGAGGAGACTGTCACAATGGCAACAGCCAGTTGCTCAAACATGAGTCTGTGATCACACTACACAGTCAGTGTCCAGAATCCGTGCTCTTCTTCCACACAATTGACAGATTGACTCTTCACTGGGGTTTCCAAATTATAAGCTGTGTGTCTTTTTCTGTGGCTGGCTACCATGCTCTCTTTCCCAAGATGTAGGGGTAAGATGAAATCCTAATGACCTCACCGAGTCCTCTCTTCTGGTTGTTCTTGAAGTTGTAATTACCACTGGACTTCTAAGTTGCATGAGCTAATATGGTTCCTCTTTGAGTTAAGTTTTAGTAGCATGCCTGGTAGGTGGATTTCAGTGTATGACCTAGCCTAGATTCTCAATAAATATCACTTCCCTTTCCTGCCATTACTATAAACATGTCTTCATATATCACCAATCCTTTCCAAAAGTATTATTTGGATAAACAGTGACTATTCAGCCATTTTTGTGCATAAGTCTAATACAAAAAGAAAAGTAATGTCCAGAGTGACTGCTTATCCCACTCGACTCCCTATAGAGCCGTGAGCTGCACAGAGCCCCACTGAGCCCTTCCTGGGATATGGCTCACTGTCTATTGAGATGCAGTGCTCTTTTAAAACAGAGCCAGTGGCATATGTATACACACTCATGATTGCACATTTATTGATTTCTAATTTGTACCCTGCTTACTTTCAAAAAGGCCCTGGAGTGGCTGACAAAATAAGACAAAGACATAATAGGGCCATTAAGAAAAAATCAAAGATCAAGCCCAAAGAGAAAAAGCAATTGCTGATTATAGCTCAGACCTGGGTTAATATAGTTGCTTCAATAAAAAATTATATTTAGCTTGTAGCTTTCTGGCAGCCATTCAGAATGTGTCAGGTTGGGCATGTGGAGAGCTGGCCATCCTTCTTGTGGGCAGCTCTGCACCCACACGGAAGCCAAGCTAGAGCAGGTCCCAGGGGAAAGCCGGATGGGTGAATGAATGGATGGATGAGTCAGTGAGTGAATGTGCAAACGAATGACTAAATGAGTGAATGATGGACAGAGGAAATAAGTTTCTGTGAGAGTCCTTTTTATGTCCCTAGGCCTATATTGTTCATATATTAAACCTACCCAACTATCATTGGCCTAAGGTCTATGATGCCAATCTCTGCGCCTGACCAGGCATCCACAGAGGAACAGTAACAAAAAGGAGTTGAACAATATCTTCCCTGCCTTTCCAGCTGCAGATCTCTGTTTTGCGGCTAAAGCTCTGTGCAATTTGTGTCAGTGTTCATTGCTACTCGTAGTCTTTTCAAGTCTCCCAGAGAAAGGAGCTTAGGAACTGAGCTGACGAGATGGAGAGTATACGAACAGCAATAGCTGTCTTTGCCCTTCTACTTACACAGCCCATTAAGCCTAGAAAGTACACAATCACACTGGGATCTCATTCAATACTTGCAGTTCCTTTGCAGGATAAGGAGAGAAGAGCTCTGTGAGAAAGTGGAAATTAGAATACGAACCATGGGTTTCCATGCCCCCGTGTCTGGCCCCCAGGATCTCAGAGACCTGTTAATACTACTATGTGTAGGATTCTGTGGGTAAGAGTGAATCTCTGGACATCCAATGGCAGCTGGAATCCTCAGAGACCTCATCCAGAGGTCTAGCACTCAAGGTACCTTCCCTCTGCTTAGAAATGGATGCTGAGATGCCAGCACTTAGTCCAGCCCAGGTTGAAAAGACACAATGCAGTGCTGGGTAGACAGATGGATATTCAGTGAGCCTCTAAGGGAAGTGCCCTGCCAGTGGTCCTCTGTATCTATGAGTTCCACATCTATAGATTCAACCAACCACAAACTAGAAATATTCAGAAAGGAATACATCTTTCTTGAACACATTTAGACATTTTTTTTCTTGCCATTATTCCTAAACAATATAGCATGTAACTATTTACCTTGCATTTGTGCTGTAGCAGGTGTTATACATAATCTTGAGATGATTTAAGGTATACAGACAAATGTGTGTAGGTTCTGTGCAAACTCTACGTCATTTTATATAGGAGATTTGAGTATCTGTGGATTTTGTTGTCCTTGGGGGTCATGGAACTACAGTCTGAAGATGGCTAAGGAAAAGTTTATATGAAAGGTGAGTTAAGACAAGGATGGTTTCTGGTTCATCCACTTGGTACTGCAGTTCTAGTTCTGCTGGACATTTGGGCCTCTAAACTGCACTTCTTTGCCCACCCAGGTGGAAGCCCACTGGGGGAGTATCCTTTCAGATTTTTAACTAAGTCAGCTAGGTGGACCAAACAGAAATGGTGTGCATGCCAAGCAGAGCCCTTGGCAAAATACAAGGGGCAAGCAAGACCAGTGGTCCACCAGAACACCATCCAGCCCTGATCTGTTCATGGTCTATCAAAATGCTCCCTAAAAATACACTGATGAGGGCCAGCCAGATAGCTCAGTGGCCTAAAGATCCTGCTTAGGCAGAAAGAAGGGATCAGGGTTTGATCCCCAGCCTGCCATGCTGGCCCTGCCCCTGGGGTGGGCTGAGATGGTGATTAAGACTAGGCATGGTGGCACATGCCTGTAACCCCAGTGCTTGGGAGGCTGTAAACAGGAGGATCACTATGAGTTCAATCTGTGTAATGAGACCCAGTAGACCCTGTACCAAATTCATTAAAAAAATACAATAATGAATACAGTCCATGTGTGTTTTTGTGCATATGTGTGCGTGTATTCCTAGGACAAAGCTCATTCTTATGTATACACACTGACATGTGTTTCACATTTTCCAGTTTTTTGCAGAGCCTGTATGCATTGTTTCAATGCACAAGTAGGTATTAAACACAGCCATTGAGAAAGAAAATGGTGGCCACAACATGAACACCTTCCCAATAATAGTTTTCCCAGCCAGACAACAAACTCACTACCTGACTTCTAAGGAACTCAGACACTGTGTCACTCCATTCACAAAGTCAGGCTTCAGACAACCTAGTTGTCCCCTAATCTACAGCAGTCACTGCCTGGTGGATTTCAGATTCAAGACCATGGAACTACTCACACTCAATACTTAGCACTTTGTAAGGTCACACACAAGATGTAAGTCATGGTCTTAATGACAACTTGCATCTCTAGCTCTCAATATTCTAAGCTCCTAGGTGAATAAAAGCATAGAGGTATCTCTACATCTTTTCATATCTGGACCATCCTGGAAGACAAATAATACAGGTGTTTCTTCCTTTTCCCACCAAATCACAGACCTCAAGACCCAGTATTTTCAATCTGGAAATGATGGGACGCAAGCAACGGACAGGAATCTGTTCTAGCCAGCAAGGCACTGAGGTTAAAATGCTTCATCCAAACCATTCTCTCTGAGACCACTGGAAGTCTCATGCAAATAAATCCACCCCAAAACACCCCTCAGGGAATTTCCCTGATGTTAAGTTCAGACTCCAATTAAATGGAGGAGTTTCCTCCCTGAAAGAACATCTACTTCACACGTCAATAGTGGTCACTGGCCACTTAATACCACCAATCTCTGGATAAAGAAGCAAGAAGTCAGGCCTGCACATTTACAAAGAACACGCCATTTCCATGACCTGCTCCAAGTTTCCACAATGGGGCCTTCCAGGCTCCACACAGCACGGGGCACCCCACGAAGGGAACCATTTTCTTGTCACGAAGGCACAAGGTAGAGCATGCAAGTCAACTTTACTCACAGTCTGGTAAGCTTCGGTGTGCTCTGGAAAAGCAATTCTGGAAGGACCTGGAGCTTATTTTTGTTCAGGCGCCTATGGAGAGAAAGAGGAATGGAAAAATGTCATTGAATTGGGTATATTCATAGACACTATTTCAATCAATCCTTCCATCCATCAGCAGGTATTAAGAGACTCAATAGTTCAATGTTCAACATGTGTAAAGCATATATCATTTTGGCAGAGCTTGCAGGCCAGCTAGAGATGTAAAGTTAAGGTCAGTCATAAGCATAAACACAGCATGGGCCATGTTTCCCCTCCTGTGGTAGAAGTCTACTATAGACATCACACATGGACTACAACTGATCTCAGAGTTCTTTCCCATGGCCCTCAGACAAGACAAACAGAGAAGAGGCCAAGGCTGGTGACCACGGGCTGGTGACCACGGGCTGGTGACCACGGGCTGAGAGACCAGTGAGTCTGCTTTGTGGTTCACTGGACTGCGTCAGGGCGGCATTATGACTTCCATGGGTCTTGGGTCCTTTAGCCTTTTGTGGGCTGCTTTGCCACAAGAAACTTACAGATTATATTTTACATCTTTGTTGGTATAAAAACAAATACATTTCTATTATGTGATATTTATTTCAACCTAAAAGTTTAGTTTCTCTTCTACTTTTCAAAGAAAAATTATGACTGGCCCTGGCAATATTCTGGGATATTTGCTTTGGATTTGGAATGTCCCCCCAAAGCCTCATGTGTTCAGAGACTGGGCTTTGGAAAGGTAATTGGATCATGGGGGCATTATATTCATCAGTGCCTTCCTCCTCTAATAAGTTCAGCAGTTGTTTATACTATTAGGAGGTGGGGCCTGGTTAGAAGTCAATCACTGTGGACATGACCTAGAATAGTTTATCTTCCTGTCCAGTGCCTCCCTTTTCTATTTCTGGGCCACTTTGATGTGTTCACCTTTCCTCTAAGACAAAACCTTTCACCCTGATGTTTTGGCATTTGAGCCTGCCAACTATGGACTGAAACTTCTGGAATGGTGAACCAAAATGAGCACCTCCTCCTTTGAGTTGTGGTGTCATATATTTTGTCCCAGAAATGGGGAAAATTTCTAGGACATAGCCCTTCAGCACTCCCATTTGTGTTTGACAAAGAAATCCACCCCAAGTCAGGAACCAAAGTCTAGGCATAGGGTACAGCCTAATATAAAACTGAGCCTGGTAGGAATGGCTTTTATTGGATGACAGTCAACAGAACAATCCAAGTCTCTTCTGAATACAGTCAATGCCAAATGGCCACAGAGAAGACCATCTCAGTTTCTGAGGGACACTGAGCCATTGTGATCTCTATGAAGGCTGCTTTCTTGTAGGAATTGGGAGAGGGGAAGATCCTGTTCCCTGTTAGCTCCATGTCATTCTGCTCTAGCATCTGTTCACAGCCTTATCAGTGAAAGCATTTCTCCCTTTTCACGTGAACCCCCAAACCACTGTTGAAGCTTATACCTCGCAGACCCGAGAATCCTCCAGCACCAACTGTAGTCTGTTTGCTGCTGAAGTGAGCACCCCTCTGGGACAAAAGAGTGGTTTATACCTTAGGGGAATTTTTCCTGAAGCCCATACTCTTTCTGCCCCCTGCATTCACTCTCAGCAGACATGATTCCCTACTTGTCAGTCCTCTTTTAACTCTTTTGTCCCTTCTGTCAGTGGACACAGACTTCTGCATGGCAAGGAGGCTAAAGGAGATCAGAACGGGCTAAGCCTAGGGAGAGAGAAGCATTTAAAATGCTATCTAATAAACACTCTTTCAAGCAGGTGTAACGTGGGCTGATGAAGCTCATGCTGTGGATGGATGGCTGGGATCAGAAATGCTGTCTGGGAGGCCTTTGATTAAAAGGAAGTGAGAAAGGTTCAAGAGTTGGGTGATTTGAAACTGTCTCATTGCTATTTCTTTCTCAATAAAATTAATTTTTTTAAAAAAGAGAGACTGGATGTGGTGGCGCACGTCTCCCAGCACTTGGGAGGCTGAACACAGGTGGATTACTATGAGTCCGATCTACATA